ATACATACATACCTACACACATACATGCATACACGTTTGAGGACACGGACCGGACCCGTGAACTGAAGCTGGCGGCCGAGAGCGAAGCCTGCGGGCCAGGAGCCCAAGCAGGGTAGCGGGTACTGTAGAAGATTGAATTCTGAATAACTGCAAATGTTGTTCCTAGGGTTCCGCTATCGGTTACGTATGATATACCTCAAAATTAGCCGTATGAAACGGGAGCCAGGCATTGCAGGGAGGGGTTCTGGGACCTGCTATGTTTTGCTGGCGTGCTTCTGCCTGTTATATGTGGGCACCTGACGGGTCCGGTGTTATGGGTACTTGCCGTAGTGGAAACGCGATATTTTTGCCCTTCGGCTCTCAAGGTTCGCTCTGAAGTGGTTTGGTTTGAAGGTGGTAGACTGGTAGAATAGGGTCTAGACGCGCGGATCGAGCTGTGATGTTGTTAGGATCCCGATGTAGAGGCTTGAGGGATGCTTGATGGTTGCAATGATTTCTGCTACCCATCGATGTCTCAGAGGCCTTGAACCTGAAGAAAAAGAAATCCCTCGAAGCCGCGAGCCGACCCAGGTTCAGTGTGGAGATCAGCAATGCCGCGGGCCTGAAAGTTCAGGGTGAAGGTCATGGGAGGTCTGGCCTAAGGGTTCTGGTTTTCGGAGTACAGACAAGTAAACATGTTGCGGGGTGGGATCGCGACATTTGAGGGAGTTTAGAGCCGCGGCCCTCTAGGGAAAGCGTGATCGAACGTGGAACTCCTGAGTTTTCGCCGCAAGTCTGAAGCCAACAGCAACCACATCGGGTTCAAATCAGAACATTGAGCTCCACAGCCGCAGAGGGCATTTTTTGCTGAGGCCGTTCGACCTGGGTGCACTGCCATCACCATCGAGGGCCCGCAAGGTGTCAAAGGTGCCACAGGGGCGTGGGCGGACATCTGTGGCTGATCAAAGGGTGATTGAGGCACAAACGCTCTGATATGCGACCCGAAAGCGTGGATCGCACACAACCTATGGCAAAAACAGCGGCACCATGTGGCGCACTTCAGCGCACGCATCACGTCGCGAGGTGTCATCGCATCCGTGACCAATGTCATGGCCTCCGAAGGCATCTTGATCAGGCAAGGCATTCCTGCCTGTTTGCTCGAGGTGCTCGAAAAGAACACTCAAGGCCCTAGTCTGGAAACCCTTCGCCGTGATCTGTGGTAGAGTCCTCATGCACACTGTCTCAGGGCCATGGCTATGATGCCGATTCTTTTGTATGTAAATGGCTTACGTGCCCTAGTCGGGAAGGAGGACGTCAGAAAGCCAGCTCTTTGCATACACTTCCACGCCCTTCTACCCCGAGCCAAAATGTTTGTCGACACTCATCTTGCCTGAAGCTTGCCTGTACAAGACGGATGCTTTGCGTGCAGGGACATGTCTGGACACCGAGATTCCGAAGCTACAGGCACTTCGGTGCGAGCATGCGCATGAGCTTCAATAGTCGATGATGGCTGCGATCGTTGGGGCTGCCTTTAGTTGCGACTCGTGTTCATTACGTACAACTACGTAACTACGAATATCGAACGGCAATGGAATTCTTGATGTCGCCGTCCTGGTCTGCTTGCCTTACTATCGCCATCTTCCTCATCAGTGTCCACATCATCGCCGCCATCAGCTTTTACCACCATCATCACCGTGAACATCATCAACAGCATCATCACCAGCAACGGCACCAGCACCAGCACCAGCGTCATCAACATCAGCAGCATCCGACTAAGGTCGTGTAGTCTTAGCAGCTGAACTCTCTTCTACGCTCTGTTGCTCCATTGTTTCGGCGGCTGCCACGAGTCGTCCTGTGGCCCTCATGCCGCCATTGCCTTTGTGATTGATTTAATTGTAGTTTCTTGTTCTTGTTTGTTCATGCTCGCGGTTGTGGTGGTGACGGTGGTGATGGTGCTTATGGTGGTGATGGGGGTGTTGCGGTGATGGTGGCGGTGGCGGTGGCGCCGGCGGTGGCGGTGGTGGTGGTGGTGGTGATGGTTTGCGAATGTTTGCGAAGAATCGCTGTTATGACTCTGACAGCTTCTTCTTTTTCAGGCACGCTGACCTTGACGTTCTATGTTACAAAGGACGGCGAGGAGGCCTACCGGTGCCGTTAGCGGTATCTTGCTTCGGACTTCCGTGCGGTGCCGAAGGTGGAAGATGACGACCTGAAAAGCTTGGGCCGTTCCATCATGGCCGCCTGCAACGATCCACAGTTCCACCAGCACCTCAGCTGCACAGCGACACGTTGCGTTACAGTTGTTGCCCATGCTCTGCTCCACTAGGAAACTGGAGAAGAAGATGGTGTCCGAACTAGAGGCACCTGGAGCCGAGTCTCTTGCTCTCCGATGGGGTCTGCATTGAGGGTTTGTATACATACGCTGCGGCGACCACAACGCAGAAAGGACGAGCCACGACCTGTGCTGCAGCAGCAGAAAAAACATTCGGGGAAATCCACCGGCATCCGGCCTCTCACCGGGAAGTCCTCAAAAAGTAGGTTTCTACTTCTCTAGAGTTTTCTAGATCGCTTACAATTGAGCTTTCACAACACTTGATATAAAGTATACCTTTGGTTTGTTTGTTATATTCGGCATGTTGCTTTTACATATTGAATATGTACAATCCTCTATATATATATATATATATTTACATACATACACACTGGATTTTCCGTTTATTCTGTGATTTCTATACTCATGGTATTCTGTGTTTACGAGTCCACCCCCCCCAACCGTTGGACCACAGCCTGCAATGTATCCCACTGGCCAATGAAGTGAGTATGCCACGGAGGGTGGCGCACGCTAAAAAGGATCGTTTCCTCGAGACAACCGTATCGGAAGCCACTTGCCTTGAGACAGCTCAAACTCGGCTTAAGTTTCGCTGCTAGACAGTGCATGGTATGGTTTGTAGATACATGAGGAATATGCATGTCTCGCCAAGTTGCTATCCGTTACCGTTGCCGCCTCTGTTTGTAGACTTCTCCGAATTCCAGAACTTCACCCGAAGCGTTTTGCCGGTTTTTTGCTTTGGAAGACATTTGAATGCTAGAATTCAAGCATACAATCTTGCGGGCGGACAACAGGTACTGTAACTTTCACGATGTCATTTGACAGGTTGACCATTGGCGGGGGGAGGGGGAGTACCATCCATTCATACATCCATCCATCCATCCCATCGCATCCCATCCATCCACCCATCCATCCATCCATCCATCCATCCATCCATCCATCCATCCATCCATCCATCCATCCATCCATCCGTCCATCCACTCCATCCGTCCCTTTAATTGTCTATGTATCTTTCGATCTGTCTGTCTGTCTGTCAGCCTGCCTGCCTGGCTGTCTGTCTGTGTGTCTATCTGCCGGTCTCTCTGGCTATATATCTATATACCTATCTATCTATCCATCAGTCTATCAGTCTATCTGTCTACCTATCTATCCGTCTATCTATCTATCTATCTATCTATCTAGTTGGATATTTGTTCCCTACTTCGCGACTCGCTCAGCCATGTAGGATGCAAAAAACTATCTATCTATCTATCTATCTATCTGTTTATCTGTTTATCTATCTATCTATCTATCTATCTATCTACCTACCCATCTATCTATCTCTCCATCCATCTATCTATCTGTCTATCTATCTATCGATGGATGGATGGATGTACCTGTTTATAGATATATATGTATATGTACACACACACACACACATCTTTATACCGGTGTCCTACTCCCGCAGGAGCTGAAGCTTCAACTTGCAAAAGCTCAAGAAGCCCTAGAGACGGCCATCAAGGACAAGGAGACGGCCGAGAAGATCATGGAGGACTCCGCTTGCGATGGCAGGGCTTTGCCGTTGGTTCCTGTCGACCCTCGTGGCATTAGGAATCTGACCTAGTCGAACTTAGCGTTTGCCCCGGGGTTTGCAATCCCTTTGACTGGGCCGTCGGGCTGCGCTAGCTCTGTTTCTTGCGCTGGAGTTGACTGATCGCACCGTCGCAGAAATATTACCTCCGGGTCACGGGGAAGAACGGCGAGACTCCGGATTCACACCAAAGCTCCGCAACCAGTGCCTGAGCTACGTTCCGCTGGGCACTGTCCCATGGGGCAGTGTGAGCAGCTCCAAAGTTGGAGCTGCTTGACCCTGCCGAGCTCGGCTGGATGACCCTTGCCGGGAGACGGTTCCAGGAGCCATGAAACTTCAAGTTGGGACGAATGAACTTATATATAGGCTTCAGGGGTTTGTGGCCTGCGACTGCTTCAGCCCCGACCCGGCGCGGACTTGTAAAGTCAAACGGACAACGACGGATGTTTTCGTCTCACCTCGCATCCTCACCTCGCTTCATGATGAACATGCCACAGTTTCTATGAGCCAAAGTCGTTCATATCAGGGAAAAAGGCATCCGCGCAGATTTGAGGGATCTGACTTGTCAATTGCATCCGCTCATTTGCAATTGCTCCCTTTTGCTCGCCCTGATGCTTCTTGCTCAAGATGGACGCTTCAGTGTCGAAGACATATGAGAGGGATGGCTTGCAACGCGAATTGGAGAGTACTTGGCTCCAAAGTGCCTGAAACATCCTGATACGCCAGGTTAGTCGGTTAGTGCAGCAGCTTCTTCTCGTAGCCTCGCAATGCAAGGAGATGCTTTCCGTCACCTCCGTGAGCTCGTAGATGCGGCGGAGGACAATGGGAGTCTCCAGTGGTCATTGAATGCCGCTGCAGTCCTGAATGGGTCAACGAAAAGCTTAGCAGAGTTGGGAGACGAGGCCTTGCGCCGACATCTAGAGGAAAGGCTGAGGCCGATGGGCCCGGGCAGTTGGGCAGAGGCCTTTGCCTACGAGGCCAGCCGGCAAGATCCCCTTCAAGAGCTCTACGAGCTCTTGGGTCTTGATTCCAAGCTAAGACACCATCGCCGGCCTTTGACCGTAGCGGAGAAGGCCCAGGTGGTGCGATCCCTGGCCGGGGAGCTCCAGAAGCAGCTGGCAGATCAACGGCTCTTCATCTCCGCGCCGCCAAGGCCCTGGTGCTCGGCCCTGCTGCGAGAGATGGCCTCAGCGATCTTGGCCCTCTGCTACGAGAGCTTCCATGGACGAAGGTTTGACGGATACCCTCCAGTCACTTCGAGGGACCTCCCAATTCCTCTGCAGACGGATGTTAAGCTCTCGGCACTTCTCCGCAGCGGCTCAGCGCGTGAGATCATCGATCGCCTCATTTGGTTGAACCTGCAAGAGCCTGGGTACGGAGACCAGATCACTTTGACCTTGGCCGTCGTCCTGCCGCGCCTAAACGATATGCGCCTGCTTGTGTTCAGCAGAGTTCTATGCAAGATCTGCAAGGGCGAGGAGAACGCGACGTCCCCCGTGGCCAAAATCGACTTGTCCTTTGAGGAACACAGCTCTCTCGCATGCACTGTCGTAAGAGCTGTCCTCAGGAGTGACTTGGTAAGCCTGCCTTTCGAGCTTGACGAGCAGATTTATGATGTCCGTTGCTCTCCCTTCCTGCCCGAGCCTGAGCGCAACGGGCTCCTGGAACTTATGGCCGCCACAGCTGCTCCTTCGGCGAGGACGCCGTCTCCCAAGAATTCGCAGCCACGGCGAGGCTTGGTTCGAATGCCGGTGGTGGAGGAGAGCCACGACTATCCGCTGGCCCTGCAGCCTCGAGTGGCCTCACCGTCACGGCGCCCTGCCTCGGCCTCTGCAGTCGGACGAGGCGCGCAGCTGCGGGCCCTCCGCCGCCCAGCGGCGCGGATGCAGGAACCTGCACCCCAAGCGAGGCCAAGACGTCCGAGGATGAACGACTCCTTTGGCTTCGGCTACGATCGCTACGATGCGTCAGCCCCCAGCGCGGAGAGGCTCGAAAGGATGGAGAGGTTAGAAAGGTTCGAGAGGCCAGAATGGGAGTACGACGAGCCGGTTCTGCGAAGGGCGTGGAGACCACCCTCTTTGCCACCATCGCCACGCCAAGGAAGTGTGCGAGATGGAAGGGAGCGGCCGTTTCCGCATGACGCCCAGCTGGGCCCAAGACGAACCTTAGATCCTGGAGGGCCTGGAGGCCCAGGCGGGTTCGGAGGGTCAGGGTATGGGGGGCCGGGACTCGGGATCGGCGCAAGCATGCCGGCAATGGGAGCGAAGCAGGGGCTGGGAGGACTAGTAGGAATGGGAGGCATCGGTGGGATGGGAGGGATGGGAGGGATGGGAGGTGCATATGGGGGAGGGGACAGCCCAACACTGAAGCGTGCCGCTGCTGTTTTCCAGCGCCTCGCCGAAGCTGCAGAGCAGCAGAACTCCCCACGCCTGCGCGTGCCTAACTGGACGATCTAGGCCCAGGCGTTCTTCCAGCCCTCCACAGAAACCTTCATGAGGAGGCGTTTACATCAGTCACCAGGAGGTTCGGATTTCCCTGCTCTACTGGTGCGTCTCACCCTTCCGGATGCTTTCCTTGAGAGCTACTCCCAACTGTGTCGCTACATTTGAGGCTACAGCTCGTCAGCTGGATAACCTTAAACATAAGCACTGCGTGGGTGGACATTTGGAGGAAGGCCTGCTCCGGCTATGTATGCCTTTTGTAAATGCCCGTGCCGTCAATGCAACGAGACAGCCCCGCTGCTTTTAAGAAAAGGCTCCCTCAACCCCTCTTCGGACCTCGGGCAGGTTGCGCTGTCTGCGGCTTTCAGGTGTGCTTTGTTTCAGAGTTCGGCCCGAGGCTGCTGAAGGGCTGAACGGTGTTGAAGGGTTCATGTCAGGTAGCTCCGGAAGGAGACCGCCCTCTTGCACAAGCGTCCATCGTCTTCGTCGGCTCAAAGAACAGGAAAACTGCGGGGACATGGCGTGGCACAAAACGCCATTCTCCAAGTTGCAGGTCATCTATCTGACCAGACTAAGAAGAGATCCTGAACTCTGACAAAGCAAGTCCAGCTAGGACAAGTTCGCGTCTGCACTCCGCCACGAGGCCCCGACCCCAGCTGACACCTTAAGCTGAGTATAAACTCCTAAGTCAAAAAAACCCAAAACCCCTTTCAGCAGGAAAGCAGCGTGTCAGGGGATGGATCCAAGCGGCCAGCAACTGCTCAGATGAGGAGGGACCTGGATGGCGACTCGAGGCCCGGTCCGGTGCTACCAGTGCCAGAGCTATTGTACTAGTCGCAGCTTTGTACCCGTCATGGTAGTAGTGGTCGTCGTCGTAGTCGTCGTTGTGGTGGTTGGGAGGAGAAGTCGTGGTAGCGTGCAGCTGCCGCTGCTGCGGCTGCTGATCGACTGCTACTGGTTACCAGTGCTACTACTGCTACTGCTGCTACTGCTCGTACTGCTCGTACTGCTACTGCTGCACCACGCAGCACAGCTGGCAGGCACAACGCGTGCCAATTATCGCTGAGCGGACGTACTCTGCTGCGAGCCGGTGTGAAGTGCTACTGAGTTTCTGCTACGACTACCGCCACTGGCGCCACCGCCACCAACTACCGAAACCATGACGACGACGACGACGACGACGACGACGACGACGACGACGACGACGACTACGACGACGACGACGACGACGACGACGACGACTGCTGCTTGTGCCACTCCACAACTCCTAGTACGACCGACTACGACCATGACTACACTCCTACTACTCCTGCTGCGGCTGCTTGCCTGTCAAATCTTCATCAACTGTCGGTGTTACGGACTTTTGCAGGCAAGATCCAGCCGAGAGGGTCAGCTCGGAGGCGGCCGATACCGATCAGCATAGCCGGCATAGCCATGGAAGGATGTGAGGAGGAGTAGTGCGAGAACAGCCAAGACAGCAGGGTCAACCTGGGTAGCGAAGGTCCTCAGCTAGGTTCAACTTCCTTTGGGTTTCTGATTGAGGGGATTAGAGGGGTTTAAGGCTATGCGGTTTGTGAGTTTGAGGCTTTAGGAAAAAGGGGTTTCGGATTCAGGGGTTGACAGTCTCTGGCGATTGCAGAAGTGCAGCTGGGCTCTTTGAAGATGGGTCTTGAGGGTTCTGCTTGTATCTTCGGGTTCGAGGTTTGAGCTTCGTAGGGGCTTGGCCGGCCTCAAGGCTTCAGGCAGGTTTTGGGAGAAGGTCTCCAGGACAAGTGGCCAGAATTTCCACATTCGGAGGATGTGTTAGCTCTGGGATTCTATGCGTACACTTTGACTGGCTATGAGTTTTGGGGTATTATGCCGCAGCAGTTCCTTTCTGGCCCGCTCGGAGTTGAAATGAAAAAACGGCCGTCACATTTGCACGGCTCCTAGCTAAACTTCGCCAAAGACCCAGCTTCGCCCCAGACCCAGGCTTACGCGGTCCCCGGCCGCCACCCTGCTCCCAACCCCTCTCTTGGCGAAGCCTGAAGGCGTCGCTCCTGACGGAGGGCCTGATGTCAGCTTTTGCCTCCTCACGGGTTCAGGACTCTGGTAGGGCTGCCCGTGGCTCCTTTCTTGGGGGCTTGTGTCGTCCTCGGTTGTCCAGCCTCCAAGGTGCAGTCCGCGAATGCGGATTGTAGACGCAACTGTACACCCCAAACCCCAGAGCCCACACCCTGTGGCCAAGCACCTGTCTTCAGAAGCAAAGCTAGTACGAATCGAGTATGCTTCGAGACATAACATGTTCCGATGGGCAGTGCAGTAGGAGACAGCCATGTGCATCCGATGATCTGCAGCTAAGAGAGCTGACAGCCAACTCCAGTTTTAGTCCGCAAACGTGGAGAAAGCGGGCGAGCCTTGTGCAGTGCCACAACTTGTAAACGGCATATCCTATAAATCTCAACGAAGTCGCATGGGCTGGTTTTGGATTGTTGTATTTTTTTTGGCAGGTTTCAGGTTTCACGATTGGCCACCAGCATGACGGCATGATTGCTTCAGCAAGGTTTCTCTCACTCGTCCTTGTGGCGGCTAGGCCCAATGCCATGTTGGCCTATGCATTGCACTGACAACAGCACATGTTTCACAAAAGCTAGGTTGCCCGCACCCACACAGACAGCTCCACAAGACCAGACGTCACAAGCACTTGTGCAATCGCCAGCGATACTTGACACGGTCATGCAGGTCAGGACGTTCATATGATCCCCGAGCAGGCACTTGATAGCTGAGTCGCA